AAGGCTCACTTCCTGCAAGGCATCCCTGAGGAGAAGCCACATGGACCTACTCTGATGCATTCCTGGGTACTAGAGCAGCCATGTGGAGACCCCCTGCCAGAGCTGAGATGCTTACACGTTCACTGATTCTGCTTTCCTCCTACAGTTGGCATCATTGTGTGTGTTTTGTGAGATGGAGGAGGAATTTGTGGATTGGTGTCAGACATATGGGTTAATGTTGGACTTATGGGCTTGGGCAGCACTGGGTTGGGATGTTTTCTTGATGTGCATGTAACCTTTATACAAAACTCTCTTATACATGAGTTTCTGTGGATTTGTTTCTCTAAGGTACCCAGACTAACACACCATCCAAGATATTTTTCTTATATATGTTTCTCCCTACCCAGCTAAGCAGGGACTTTTCTCCTGTTCAGTTTCAAAAGTCATTCAAAGCTTTTAATTACCAGCTTCTCACCATCGATTTATATAATCAGTATTTGACTTTGCTACCATTTAAGTTCTTAAAAATATCTCTGCACAGGCTATATGTTAAATAAGGCTTCTCAAGTTTTTATCCCAGTAGCTTTTTCCTGGTTTGGCAACATCTAACAGAACAAGGGAAAATATCACTCGCTCAAGGCTATCTTGCCTGTGAGATAAAACCCAACACTTACATTCCCATGAAACATGTTTAAGTCTTGTCAAAACAACATTTGCCTGTGGCTCAGCTACCATTTTTAAGGTTGCCATTTTTAAGGTGGTTATCGCTATTCTCATCTTCTCAAAACTTGGCCAAAATTTTCCGTCATGGTGTAGTAACTAGCCAACTGACTGCCATCAAGTCCATGGCCACCCATAGCAACCCTGTTGGACAAGGTGGAACTGCTCTGAGGGTTTCTGAGACTGTTACAGGAATAGAAAGTGAGGGTTTCTGAGACTGTTTACAGGAGTAGAAAGTGAGGGTTTCTGAGACTGTTTACAGGAGTAGAAAGTGAGGGTTTCTGAGACTGTTTACAGGGGTAGAAAGTGCACTCGCTTGCACCATCTCTGTCTCTGTCTCTCTCTCTCTCTAGTTCTTTGTAGTAGGACAGCATGTATTGAATGCAAAATCTATTGAATTCCACTTCAGTGTAATATGGCTTTTTATTTAGATTGATGGCCCCTGATTTTTTTTCCATAGGTATTTATGAAGAGCATGCCTTCATTTATTTTAAATACAGTGCCATGTTTGTTAATGTTGCTGGATAAAATAAAGACCTTTAAATAGAAGAAAATATACTTGATTGTATATTTCAGATACTACTCATACTCAGTACTTTGTAATTTGGAAATGTCATTAGCATTCAGCTGCTTTTGAAGATACTGCTAACAGTACTCCCATTTACACGAAATGCTTTCTTTGATTTTTAAACTACATTTATTCTTTACAGATCTGTTGTTTGCAGTTCTCTTGTATTTGTGATGAGTCCCAACCTTCTGCTCATAGCAGACAGACAGATCTTGATGCCTCTGTGGTTTTTCAACAGTTCCCAACCATGCCAAACTGTACCTAGAGTATCTTTTAAATAGTTTTCTCCTTCACTCGTTATTTACTTCTTTTTTTTTGTTTTTTTTGTTATTTACTTCTTTAATTAATTCTAAGAAATCATTCAATTATCTTGATGTTTGTTCTCTTAAAGTTGTATATCTCAATGGATTTGAATTATTATGTGCCTACTCTAGAAATCTTTAGTACTTGGGAAGAGAGAGCAATAGGAATGGATATGGAATATCCTATAGGATATTATAATATTACTCAAGGAGAGAGCAATAGGAAAGAATATAGGATAACAGCTTATTCTTTGACAAATCTCTTGTTATTTAATAAAAAGTAGAACTGAAAAATAATGTGGAACTGCTGTAGATTAGGACAAGATGCCTGTTGTATGTTTAGATTTTTATAGAAAAGGGAAATAGGCTTGAAATTGTTATTTTTTGGTGGTATAGTTTTAGGAAGGATTTTTTTATCTGCATTTCAAAACTTCCAGACTTTCGGAACAGCCAGGAGCCCAAAAGTAAGATGTTAGAAGGTAATTCCTCACTAATAGAGAAGTACACACTCTGTACTTAGTTTATAAGGGCACAGCTCATATATGAAAATTGGTACATTGTGAACTCCTCGAGAGCAGGATGTTCTCAGATGATAGTTATATTGTCCTCTGCGTAAAAGGAAAGTAATGTGTATTCATTGTAGAATTGGGGAAATAGAAATCTTTACTTTTAAGAATCTCCCATTTTCTTTAGCATGTTAGTGCATCTCCTTCTATTCCTGTGTGTATGTCTGTGTGTATGTGAGCATTTTATAGTAAAATATAATTTATATAAAGTGTAATCAAACTCAAATAAAATAATAGACCTTTGTACATTTCTTCCTGATCACAACTCCCATTTCCCTACTTAACCCATTGCCATCCGAGGCTTTGTAAATCTTTACTGGAGCTGATAATCTCCTTTTCCCACAAGGTGGTTGCTGGGTATGAACCATAATAGACCTTGAGGTTAGCATCCAACATGGACCCAATAGTGCCATCAAACCTCCATTTAAGTATACCATTATTCTCTCTCTTAGGGGGTAATCAATTTCTTGCTTTTACTTATAGTTTATCTATTTTGTTTTATACTCATATACTATATCCAAAGAGCTTAATACAGTTTATTTTTTCATATTTTGAACTTTAGTTATATTAAATCCTAGCATATTATTTTGTTTTTCTGCTTTAGAATAATATGTATTTAAGACTTATGTTTTGTGAAGCTATAGTTTTTTGTTAGAATATTTTAAAATGTAATAAGTGTAAATCACTTCTGTTGCTATGTACTATTGCATTGAATGGACATATCACAATTTATTTTTCCGTTCTCTTGTTGATAGTTGGTTTTTATGTATTCAAAGTGACCCCATAAGGCAGGTTTTGAACGACTTGAGGGCAGAATGAACCAGTGTTTGCGATATGAGTACCTGGAGGATTTCTCACAGTTCTCATACCTTCTCTCAGCCTCAGCATTTCGAAGAAGATCTCCTTCCATGTTTCTGTTCTTTCCCCAGCTACAGGATGGCCTTGAATCCCTAGTGGATTTGCTTCAGTTTTTTTACCCTGTCCTCAGACTTAGTCAGACTCTAAGTGCTGGTGCCTCAGGGGATTCTCTCATTTCTCTTGTTCGGTTACCATTTTTTTTTTTTTAACTTGTGAGTACTTGATGAAGGCCTATGGAAGGGAATTCTTTAGAAGTTGACAATCACTTCTAACTCCTCTTTCTATTTAGAGGCCCTAGATATTTTTAGCTGGCATGCCAACCTATTTTCAACCTTTAGCATTTTGTTATGTGTTCAGCATTCTCTCCCTGCCACCCCCCATCCCCATTTGCATGCATGATAGGGTTCTTTTTCGCTTCTTTAAAATGTTCATCATATTTCTAATCTGTTGGGTGGGTGTGTAAGTATGTGTGTATTTCTCCCTTCAGATCTTAATTACCATACACACACACACACACACACACACACACACTTGTAGGGTTTTTGGCTTGCTGTTAGTGTTTCGATTGAGTGGGAATTCCCATCTGAGTAACTCTTTACCCTTGAGCTTTTTAACTTTGCTATAAAGACTTGTAAAGACTCAATAATAGCACCAGATAACAATAAAGGTTTTTTAGTTTGAGTACAACCCATAATCGCAAGAAAGTATTAAGGAAGAAAGTTTCAAAATAATAATGTTTGATTTTTCTTCAATATAAAGAATGATTCTCAAAAGACTCACTGACATCGAGTTAATGCCAACTCACAGAGACCCTGTTCGACAGGATAGGAATCCCCTCTGGGTTTCTGAGACTGTGACTCAGTACTGGAGTAGTAGACAGCCTTATCTTTCGCCCACAGAGCGACTGGTGGTTTGAGCTATTGACCTTGCAGTTAGCAGCCCAACTCATCACCACTACCACCAGAGGTCCTGAATGAGTAGGTAGCCACATCTTTAGTTATCAAGCCCACTCTAGGGCAGTAGCATCAAACACTATCTAGTAGAAAAGAACGACAGTTCTTTCTAGGGCACTTCAGGCCATTTTGGACAGCTCTGTGGACTAGGTTTCCTGGTGTTCAGCTGGAGACAGCTGCCATCTAACATGCTAATTGAATCTAGTTGTTTTCTTTAGCTACTCAAAACTAGTCCATTTTCCTACATGAAGATAGTTATATCCTTTCATGTTTTCTCCTTTTCCACATTGTACCCATCACATTTCAGAGTTCTCAGACCTTTACTGTTCTACTTGACCCTTTCTGAATGTGCTAGCTTGTGGACATCATCATAAATGGTATTACTCTAAATATGATCTGACCCACAGGATGGAACTAGCAAAGAGAATATTTTACAAGAGCATAATAGCCCTGTGATTTATATATGTTGGTTTCCATTCTGAAATTGAGGAAAATGAGATTCAGATAGGTGAATACATTTTCCTCAGGTCATATAGTATGTGAGGGAATTTTCAAGTCAACTGTCTATTTAGCTGTTTGCAAATCCATGTTATTTTCATTATTGATATTAATATTGATAAATTACCATTTGTTATATAAACACTGTGTACTAGATAATGTAGTGAGCACTTCACATTTTCCCATCTAAACTTCACAGCAGACTTGTGAGGTAGCAAGTGCTATTTTTACAGAAGAGGAAATTGGAGCTCAAAAAAGTAAAATAATTTGGCATAATATCCTTGAGCAAGTGATACAGAGCCACCTGTAGTATTCTGCCAGGGCTTTCATGATATACTGGATATTTCAGTTGCACTGTCCTAAATCTATGTAAGATTGTTTGTGTTATTTTAACAATAGATTATGTGTAATTAACACACATCATTGTTTTCTTTCTTTTGATGCAGAAACACTGCTGATCTTACCATAGCAGTCCATTGTTTCTATAGTGTAGTATGTCAGCATTTAGTATTAACAAAAAACATGAAAGGATGACCATCATTTCCTTTGTTTTTAGGTCCACCTCATTCCTTTAATCGAGATGAGACAATAATCATTGCTTTGGCATCAGTTTCTGCACTAGCTGTATTGATAGTTGCCTTATGCTTTGGATACAGGATGCTAACAGGTAAAAATCTCATTTTTCTGTTCTTACTGTTTAATTAACATGCCTTTTCATCAGAATATGTATGTGTTTTATAATAAGTTTTTTGGTGTGTGGATTAGGTAGATTTTTTTTTTCTTTTTAAAACCTATGTGCCACAGTAGTTCCCATTCTTCTCTCCAACGCCCCCGCCCACCAATATTTAAGAAAAAGTTTCAAACTTTACAAAATACCTATCACTAATATAACAGTTGCCACATACGGACAGTATTGCATCATCTGTATTTCCTCTTCACTCTCGGCTTGCCATGGTCCATTTTGAAGCAAACCACAGTTATCAAAATATCCTATCCATGTAGCTATCCTTTAGTATTATCTCTGAAACGTAGGCACTTAAATAGTAAATCATCACAGTATCATCTTCATGTCTTCAAGAAATGACAGTAATAATTTATTATCATATAATATTAAGTAGATTTTAATAAACATTAGATTTGAGAGGCATTGTAGGAAATCAGTATTCATTTGTTTTACTAATTTTAGTAAAACCTCTGTAATACTTAAGGTTTTAAAGTTCAAACTGTGTCTGTTTTGGAATCATCTCCCAGAATTCAGCTTTCAAGCTATTTATCATTCATCTTTACGTGTAGGTGATCCCTAACTTTAGTAGATACGTTTACTCTCATTACTATTAGGCATAAATGTTGCAGCTGTTCTGTCATTTTTTATATTGAAATGTATGAAAAGTATAAACCAAATCTTCATTTTCAGAAAGTCACATTTGGCAAATGTGCTTGACACGCTGAATGAATGTATGGATTGTGATAAGAGATGTAAGAGCCCCCCAATGAAAGTAAGGAAAAAAAGTCACATCTTAGTAATCTTATTTTTTTCCTATAGGAGACCGTAAACAAGGTCTTCACAGCATGGACATGATGGAGGCAGCAGCCTCAGAGCCTTCTCTGGACCTAGATAATCTGAAACTGTTAGAGGTAAGCTTGCTACTAGATTATGAACATTTGCTACTACTCCACTGTGGCACAGTAACTGTATCCACTAATTAATTAATTCATTCTTTTATTTAACAGCCATTTACTGAGCTTTTAAATTTTTTTTTTACCATGTCCTTGTCAAGATTCAGGGAGTATAGGAACAAAATATAGGTATTCTTCTTAGGGCTTACATTCTAGTTGAGGAAAGTCTACACACAAGTAAATAAGTGAATATATAATTTCAAGTAGTAGTAAATACTATGAAGAAAAATATTGAGAGAAAGCTATGAAGAGGATGTTAAAATCATAGAAAACTGTCAGAAAAGGGCTTACTGAAGTAGGTGACTTTTAAGTATGTAAATAAAATTGTGAGATTCTGAGAAGACAAAGATTCTGCTAGACAAAGAATTTATAGTGTGTACCAAACAAATCTTCGTTGTTGTGCATATATTACAGATTTTATTTAAAAAAACAAAACCAGACTAACTGCCATCAAGTCAGTGGTGACTCCGAGTGACCCCCGTGGGTTTCTGAGACTGTGACTCTTTTCTGCATTCGAAAGCCCAGCTTTGCTTCCATGGAGCTGCTGGTGGTTTTGAACTGCTGCCCATGCAGCTCACAGTCTTAACTCATAATCACTATACCACCAGGGCTCCTGGTAATAAATATATCTTATAAATACATGTAAATATTACATGTAAATAAATACATGTTAAAGGGAGTACTGGTTGCACAGTGCTTAAATGCTCAGCTATTAATTAAAAAGGTCAGCTATTTTAATCCATCAGCAACTTTATGGGTGAAAGATATAACATTCTGTTTATGTAAGGATTGTAGCCTTGAAAACCCTGTGGGGGTGATTCTACTCTGTCCTGCAGGTTTGCATTAGAACAGATTCAACAGCAACAAGTTCTTATTAATAGTCCATATTCCTTAGGGGTTAAGTTTCATTTGTTAATATGCCAGAAATTAGGTTAAATAGGAATGTAGTGAAAAGTGTAAGCCAAAACCTTATTTTAAGAAAGTCACATATTAATAAGTTACCCTTTTTCCCCTACAAGAGACCATAAACAAGGTCCTCACAGCATGATAAGAGCATTCCCCTATTTGTGATCATGAAATTTATTAGCATTAGAGCCACCTCTTTCATGATCATGACATTTATTAGAAATGGTTCTATCTGTGATCCCCAAGCCAGTGACTATTAGTTATAAAATATGATAAATTTGACTATATATTTAAAATACATTCTGTTAGAAAAATTGCTAAAATAGTTTATGGCAAATACAAAACCAGTTTCAATAAAAAGCAAGAGAAATTTTCAGAAAACCAGAATGAGTTTCATTTTGTTGGTTGGTGTGGAATGAGTAATTCTGGAGTATATCCTGGACATTGTGAATGTTATGTTATGTTATGGATACCTTTATTTTCCTCTGAAGGGTGTTGCATGAAACTCAAGTCTCAGTGCAGTATTAGATCGTTAGCTGGACTCTGTCCCATGCATTCACTGTTTCCTCTGTCTGGCTTTCTCCTTTCCTAGATTATCCTTTCACTTCCAGCTCTGTCCTCTGGTTCCTTAGGCCAGAAAGACCTATGGATTTCCTATTGATACTTTTGTTTCTCTGCATTACACTGACTTCAGCCTCCTCTCAGGCTCACAGAGATAAATACTTATGTTCTTTCTCCAGTGCTTTTTAGAATTTGTATATAATTGTTTATAGTTTATATCTGTTTTCTGTGAGAGAGCTGGATCTGGTAAGAGCTTGCTCAGTCATGCTAGTGGATTTCAGTGGACTTTTAATAATGGAGAACTTTGAACTATGGGACAGAGAGCTGTGGTCTACCAAATGGATTGGTTTTTTGTTGTTGTTTAGTAAACTTGATTGTTCAACTGTGATCTGAATTGGTGCCTTACTTTCTTCAAAACATTTTCTTGCAGCTGATTGGCCGTGGTCGATATGGAGCAGTGTATAAAGGTTCCTTGGATGAACGTCCAGTTGCTGTAAAAGTGTTTTCCTTTGCAAATCGTCAGAATTTTATTAATGAGAAGAACATTTACAGAGTGCCTTTGATGGAACATGACAACATTGCTCGCTTTATAGTTGGAGACGAGAGAGTAACTGCTGATGGGCGCATGGAATATTTGCTTGTGATGGAGTATTACCCCAATGTAAGTTCTTCATTAAAGATAAATGGGCATTTATATTAGTTGTCAATCATACTTTCAGTAGAACTAATGTAATGTGGAGCAATTCTGTTTCACACACTGGTTATTTAGTTTTCCTCAATGAAATAAGAATCTCACTTCAGAATGTAAATTAAGTACACAACTAATTGTATATTTAGTTCAGCTCTCTCGCTTTCTCTCTAGTTTTTTTTTTTTTAATCGTTTTAGTAGGGGCTCATACAATTCTTATCACAATCCATACATACATCAATTGTGTAAAGCACATTTGTACATTCATTGCCCTCATCATTCT